ATGATAAATAAATTCAAAAATCTTTTCCAGATTGGAACAGAGTCAAGATAATCGAGATTCACATATCCTGTAATTTTTGAAAATTAAACTGCTACCTTCATTTTAGCTATCGCAGCGCTCTATACATATATTTTGTTTTCATAATAAGTCATTTGCTCATACAATAGTTCGCCTGAAAGTGAACGTTATTATACAAGAGATGAACAGGCTAGCCTAATATGATTAGTTCTATATAATTTAAAAAATTACAGGGCTCTGTAGCTCATTAAATGTTTCACAAACTTTGATAAAAAATCTAGAAAATTTTAATAATGAAAACCGAGCTCTTTTGGATGTTTAAAAATTAAAGGGTGCCCAAAAATATACTACATTACAACTAAGCTCCATTTCATTCCGCTACTGATTACAATATATGGTTGTTATACTTAGCCACCCACAAAACCTCATATTAGGATCAATTTTGGAAATTATTTTAAAGGAATTTTTTCTATTGACAAAAAATATTTTCATAGAGATATATTAAAATATTTTACAAATAGAGTTTATGGGAATTGCTACATAAAAAATATATTTAAATGCTGAAACTTGCAATAGCAAATATTTCTAAAGCGTCCTAACTATCTTCATAATCTGTCCAAAAGCATCTGTTGATTTCACAATAGCTTTGGACTATCGTATATATGTATATTTTTATAATGTATCATTCGATACCTCCATTGTAATGTGATAAATATTGCATCAACAGTTACTTTATGGTTTTATAAGCCCATGTTGCCAGTCAACTAATCAAGCACATAATTGCCACTTAATGAATACCTCCATAAAATTGGAAAATGTTACTTTGGCTGTGGCACAAATAGCCACTTTGCTACAAATTACATCACTATTATCAATGTTTTTACGATGGCCATCCACTCTCAACAGAAGCAAAAGATATTTGCAGGTAGTATTGTAAATGCTAGTGGCATTAGCGGCTTTAACTGTCATAAAGTAATGCTGTATTTAGTGGTACACATAAACATATTTATTTTTGCACATAGAAATATGTATATGAGGTTATATGGTGGTTTACAAATATATGGTACACATATCAATATTTATGTATATATTTGTAT